TCTTTATTCATTGAATGGATTTTTTTTGGGACAAATTTAAATGAGAAACACTGAAATGGTTAATTGAGAACAACAAATGTATTTCATGAGGAATTGCGGCATAAAATTAAACTGATGAAACTCAGGACTTTCCGCTGTGCAGATTGCAAGAATTTTTTAACATTTTAATTAATTTCTACTGAAAAGTTGTTTCTAAAGTTAATTCTGCCATTTAGCTCAATTATGAGTGTGGCCTTTAATAGTTATAATTTATATTGATTCTGCAGCTCTTCGATGGTCATAAATATTTATATTGCAGTTAAATTTTTTATATAATATAATGTTGAGAAAAAATTCTGGTAAATATTTTCTAAATATACTAACACGTTGTTTTCCCCTATTAAACAATCAACTCTTTAAAATTTGTATTTAAGGAAAGACTTTGGTACCCATAATACGTTGAGGAAAAAAAAAGTAATTTAATAAGTAATTTCACCAGGAATTCAAGCTGACTGATTTTGATTGAATTATTCTATATGTCTGAAGATCATCTAATGACCTTTGTCTGGGTTTGTAGTTGTGGTGTTAATGAGTTCAACTCAGTTTAAATTGCTAAAGCTACCTGGCAAAACATATCTCAGACCTGTTTACTCTTACAATTTTGGTGTACACTATATGATTATGAGGTGTATAAATTATATACACTTCATTTTTATTTTTTTACTATTAAGTTTATGTACTGAAAGATTTTGTGCTGATATTGTACAATTTTAAGAGTTTGAGGGTAAACAGGTCTGATATGTTTAAACTAGATTCATCAATATCCTTGATGAGCATGTAGATTAGAAGAGATCTACAACATCCCTCCCCCCACCCCCAACCAACAACAAAACAACTGTGATGTCATTCAGTTTAGATATAATTTAAATGAAAATTTAATTTAACAACAAGAGAGATGAAGGTATGTGCTTTAAATGTCAACAAAAATAATCAACAATTTTTTAAATAGATACACAACAGTCTGCACCCATGTGCATAAAATAAACATTTCCTCTAAGGATTAGACTATCTTTTCATACCATTTTAATGTAAAAGGAGACGTTTTAAAGATGATAAATTGATTTGAGTGCCATTTCCAGTATATTAAAATCTTACGGTTGTGTGTTTAACACATGAACGAAAATGTTTGAGAAGGTTGTTTTTGTTTTTTTTTGCACCGTCCAAGAATTTCTGTGATGACTGTATTTAAAAACATTGTATTATAAACTTGTTATTGAATCTGTGCCGACATTGTATTTATTGGTTCACCAAACATTTATAAGTATATTTTCAAACATAAATTGTTTGTCAAATTGTCAAACATTAATAATACTTAGTTTATTTTTTTTATCATGCTATTTCAAAATGTATGATTAACTTTTCATTGTTCATTCTTTGACTTCGAGAGCAGAAGAACAGTTTTATAGCTAAATTCATAAAATTAATAATTTAATTTTTTAAAATTGTGTAATAAATTAAGTTTGCATTATCTAACCATCAATTTTGTGATGTCCAAATAAATCACATAAGACATAAGTCCTCAAAAGATAGTGAAGATGAATTGGATTGAAATTAATAATTAGATCAGAACATATTGGCATCCACATTTTCATATCCTTGAGGTAATTTTTTTTGTAATGATGATAGAAAACCAAAACACTGTGAGATAAGCCAGCAGTTTTATGTGTATTATTGTACTTCGTTTAAATGATCCTATTTGTGTACATTTACATATTGTTAACTTTAATCTAATAGCTTTTATCATTATCATGTTGTATGTTTAATAAAGGAATGCAATACTTGTATTTATATACCATTCATTATTAATTTCCTCTATTTTGAATTCTTTTGGACAAAAAAACTTATTTGTTTATTGAATTAAAAAAATAAATTTTTTTTGAGGTAATTACTTTTTCCTTGTGCTTTATATTTATTTTTATTTAGTAAAAAAACTTTACATTTGACTGAGTGAGTGAGTGACTCTGAACCAGAAGTTAAATTGCTTTGATGACCTTTGTCAAAAATCAATGGAGAAAAGTTAAAATGTATGAGTCCTGCTTTAAAGCAAACTGTTGACCTACTGAGCAGCTCAATGGTGTAGTGTAGATTTATTTATTATGGCATTACCCCATACCACACATCGGGAATAAATGGTCGTCTTTATACTAAGGCTTGTCTTAGATTGAAGATCTGATTAGCCTTGACCCTTGCTATGGCATAATGCTGAGCTGCATGGGGTATGTAAACTCAGGGTGGGCCACAAGTAAGTATGGTTGCCACAAGTAAGTATGGTTGCCACAAGTAAGTATGGTTGCCACAAGTAAGTATGGTTGCCACAAGTAAGTATGGTTGCCACAAGTAAGTATGGTTGCCACAAGTAAGTATGGTTGCCACAAGTAAGTATGGTTGCCNCAAGTTTCAGCTTGATAGGTTGATGGGAAGTTGATTAATAGCAGTCCAAAGATTTTGCAACACACCCAGACAGAAAGAAACAAACAGGAACATAAGTGAAGTTAATATAAAGGATTTAAAACGATTTCATTAAATGCCTGATACAGGTAATTAAGATTTCTTCGTGAACAGTGGCTCCCTATTTTTATTGCTCAATATTTAAATTTAATGACTAGCCAGAAGAGATTACAAGCTTTTCCACCACACACAGCAGTAGATTAGCTTGTTGCTCTTTTATGGCATCACTTTCATATTTCTCACCAGGGTAGTTGGCAGGACTTGATTTTCTCTTATTTCAATCCTACTTCTAACAGTACAGTAAGTGACAGCAACTTAGATCCCCAAAGGTAATTCAAATGTAATGTTTGTTATAAAGGGCAAATCTTATGTGTTAAAGTCTATCAGGTACATAAAACTGTCTTCCTGCAAATTTGCATCATGAATAGTATGTAAAATATTATTTATGAAAGGCTCTTGCCAAGTAAAAAAAAATAATAATTATTTTAAAAGAAAAGGAACAGCCTTAACAAAACAGATAATTTAGTAAAACTGAAGAAATAAATTCAATTTAAAAACAATAAACTGATACTTTACATAGATGCTAAACCTTTAATTTACAGGATTACTTTTAGAAAAGCACAAACACACGCATAAAAAGTAGATCTTGTTCACACTTACAAATACATAGAAACTGTCAGTCCATTTACTTACATTGGTTAATAGCTTCAACTTTTCTGGTGTATCAATGTAGTCTTTGGATGCTAATACAGAAGCCTTCAATTCTTTGTTGCTTTCCTCAGTCAAATTGAGCTATGAATAAGACACATACGCATACACAAATATTTCGAAAAAGATTCAGTAAGGTTACCATGATATAAGTTGGCTAATCGCTGAGTTTTAATATATGGAATGTACTTTTTATTTCTTATCCTATTTAAGAAAGGCTACTACTAACTTCTATGTTGGCCTGAGAAGTAATAGATGTTTTGGTTAACCCTCTGAAGCACTGACATTTAGGGCAGAAAAAAACACTCAGGAAGTATGTTTTTTTGTGGTTTTTTTGGTGACCATTTCATCTAAAGTGCATGCACTGCACTCTAATAAGTCTTAATAACATGGAAAACAAGTCATTTCCAAAAATTTGCCATAGTTTATTTTTAGTTGCATGGTACACATAATAAACCAGTCAGCTGTACAGGTATATGCCTTAGCTTATGTTATAGTTATAAGATTATGTCATTTTTAAATCTTTGAAAACAGTCATTGTTTTCACCCATACAAATAGGGCTACACGACAACCAGTACCGGCCCACTCAGTTCAGATTTTTTTTTTTATTCAATAGCACACCTTCTGTATCTTCACCATTCTGAAGTGTTCCAGACATTTTGGGGTACGTAGGGTTTCTTTTGTCTTGATCTGCACTCTGATGACCTCTGTCTCAACTAAAAATGGAGTTCTTTGTGGTGTTTCTTGTTTATTCCAGTGAACACCATCATTACCAGTCAGAGGTGGTGTATTCGAATCATTAAAATCAGGTCATTTTGAGTCATTTCCCAGTGTCTGCAGTTTGGTAGTGGTCTAAACTGATTTATGTAATGCAGGAACATCTTGGACAAACAAAATAATTTATGGTGGTGGTATCATATGTCCCACTACCACAAGCTGATTTTGTCTGAATAACTTATTGACCAGGAAAACCCAACAACTGGTGAAAAGGTGTACCAGTCACCATTGGTATCATCAACATTGCTTGATGAGGTTTGGCTTATTTCAAGTTCTACTTCTTCTTGATCCTGCCAATTAGATGTTCAAAATTATATCCTCTACTTCATCAAGAAACTTTAGGATGTCATCCTGTGATTGGAAGCAACAGATTGTTTGGCCAAACAGGCCTTTCAGGATACATGTAAATATATATATATATATATATATATATATATATANATATATATATATATATATATATATATATATATATATATATATATATATATATACATGTATCCTGAAAGGCCTGTTATATATACATTTATATTACTATCACATTTGCAGATTTTCCAGTGACAACCACACAAAAAAACATGCGAATGCGTGACATCCGCTCCTTGTAACACTTCTTGTAACTTCTAAACATAACACCAACAAAAGACTGTGATATGAGCAGAAGCTGATGACATCTTGTGACCACAGTTTAAACTTCACAGAAGGCTGGGAAACTGTGGTTTACATTTTAACTCTGAGTGCCTTTTACTCGCAACAAATTTAAGTGGTCAGTGAGCACTATGCAATAACATGGCTCAATTAAAAGGTATAATTTTTGAACTACCAGCTTCAAAGGGTGAAGTAGATTAGCTTGGAGCCACATATAACATATATATAAAAAGAACTGATAAATATTTTGAATTGCTTGGTCTTATTACTATCAGTTTTAACAACACATTAACTTATAACATACCCTTTGAGACATCAACTTAAAGTTACTCTCAAAAACATCCATGCCCTGCTTCAATCCTAAAACAGTCTTATTTAGCATACTTATTTGGGTCTGCAGTTTCATGATCATGTCAGGTGTATCTTTATCAGATGTTTGCACTGGTGAAAACATGGAAATTGACTATTAGTTTTGCAAAGTTCAAAATAATATATTTGAATACTCCAAAAAAAAGACTCTTACTTAAATTAGCAGTTAGGCTTTTGCTTGAGGTAAGCTTAGGTTTTGGTAAGCATTCCTGAAGCTTAATCTTTCCTATTAATCTGCAATTTTCAAAACATATGGGACTGAATGAGACACAAGCTTGGTTTTAGACAATCCACTGAGTTTATAAAGATTGTTTTAAATACTTTATTTTTTAGTCAGTTTTAAATTTGACACACATAAGACAGGCTTCTTTTAGCAATGTACCTGAAAAAGAATGTATTGTAGTTACTTTTTCTACAGTTAAGGACAAAGATGCATTCAATTTATGCCAATTTATATTCAAAAGACGAACATATATTTGAATAAGAAAAAATCCAAAAACAATAATTTTGTTAAGTTTCATGCTAAAAAATTATTAATTTACAATTGAATATTTGATTTAAAAAGTTTTAATGGTTAATTTTGAACAATATGTCAGTAAATGTGATTTTGTTTTCTTTCAGGCTTCATGTGTCCAGTACTTATTTTTATCTTGGTTACCACATAAACCCCAAAAAATTGGGGAAAATTGTATTACTATTTTAGGGTAATTTTGAGAATTTTTGATAATTTCAGTAATCAATACAAAATTCATAAGAGGCAGACAACTTAGACTAGAAAAATCAAATGTATCAAACATGCCTTTTTGATGTCATATTCACTGCAAAAATCTACAGAGATGTTTAATACAGTTATAAAAACTTATTAAAAAACTGCATTCATACAAAACCAAAGGATACTAAATGAATACAACGCTAATCAAACAGTACATTAAATTATCTTAGTAACAGCCAAGTCCTCACTTGTACTCCAAATGAAAATATTTCCAACTTAAAACATTAATAATTTTGAATTGCTTATAATACAAAAAGGAATTAATTTTATTAACAAGAAAAAAAATCTGAATAATTTGTATAACAGAGGATCATCTAAAATATGCAACTTTTAAATTAAAACAAATCATTTTGCAGGAGAGCAGAAAAAATCTACCTGCATGTACTTGATTCCTTAGTGTATTGAGTTCATGCCTTATGTGCCACTGCACCCATATTAGACCAACACAGGTGGTAAGGCATGCCATGGAGATTATAAATAGACTGATTCTTGCTATCATGCTCTGACAGACACAACATCGACTGAGTTGGTTTTAAGGAAGATTTTTTTAAATTAGTTTTTCACAAGAAACGTTTTTTTAATCTTTTTAACAAATTAAGGTGTTTTCTAGTGTAATGGATTGCTTTATTACATATTGAGAAGTACTATTTAATTAAATTGAAGTTTTTGCAACCTTAGTGAAATTGATTTAATTTTAGATTTTAGGTTTATTTTTTATATATTTCAATTAAAAATAATTTTTTTAAACTGTTCACTAGGGAACAACTGGAATATTTACTGGGTAGCGAATCCTAGCTTTTTAGGACTACTATATGCCAAATCCGGGTATGAGTCCGAATACTATTTTTACATTATTCAAGATTATATTTACTGTATATTACAGCGTATAATAACACGTTCCACATATAATTCCATCTCTACGTATAATGCAATGTTGATCTAATAAAAATATAATACAAAGTAACGAAAAAAAATTTTTTTTTTTTTTAAATGTCAAAATTTGTTACATTATTATAGTATTTAAAATAAACTGCTGTCATACCAATACAACTATGCTAATATCACTTCAAAGGGGTGCTACTAATATTACTGGTGTTATGCACAGATATTATGCACTCTCAATTGCTGAATGATTGCATAGGCATTCAGTAGGCCAGTTTTGAAAAATTTATAAAAACTCCATATAATGTGAGCCCTTAATTTTAACACTTGATATCCACATAGAGTGAAAAAAAACACCAACATCCATCCACATGAGTTTGGTAAAAAATGTTATAGACGATGAACTAAATAACTTTGTAAAGTCGGATATTGATTTTGTTTCATTAATTTAAATGCAAGAATCTGTATTACTAATACTACAGCTGGCATGATTAACAGATTATTTATCTATAATTACATCTAAATTGCTATCAACTTCATTATCTGAATCCATTTTTTTTTAAAAATTACTATTGATAGATGCATAAAAGACCCCAATTCCCGAGACTTGTACTTGGAAAAATTAAGGGATATTCGACAATGGCGAATGTCCAAAGCAATTTCCAGTTGTTCCCTACCGTTTACTATTCCTTATATAAATAATTAGTAATGTAAATTTGCAGAAAAACATCAAATTACTTTTTTCTTTTTGAATTTGGAGGTGGAAGTGAAAATTCATCAATTTCTGATGAATCTGACTGATAATCAAGTAACTCCTGGGCACTTGAACTGTTTTTGCGACTGCGAGGCAGTTTCATAGTATCTACCAAAGCATCCAGCTGCCTTCTTTTCTTCATCCTTTTAGGAAGCTTATAATCTACTTCTCCTTTTATATTCACCATGATTCCAAGTTTGTATTAAATGATGATTGGCTGAACTGTTGAATTAGAAGACATCAAAGCCTAGGCCTATGCAGCAAATTGTACTACAGTGGTCTCACAAAAACTGAATTTGATACCAATTTTACGATCACAGTCATTGCTTACAATTTACAAAGAATGTTTAACATTACAAAATGCTTAAACAAGCATAAGCCTGCATATTATCGATATTAAATGTGAATTGTTAATTTTTTGGTTTTTGAACTTGATGTAATCAATTTATTTACTACCAATAATACTAAAATCTGAACAATTAGTATTAGACAGGCTAATTAATTTGAACTTGACTGATAAATTCAATTAGCCAACTAAGACTAAGTCAATAACATTCAATGGCAGTATTGAATAGGCCTAACCAGTAGCTGGCACTATTCAACTGGCCAAATATATTTATATCATATAAATTATTAAATAGCCATAAATCTTAATAATAAACTGTAGGTCTCATTATCTCACTGGACAATTACTTCTATAACTCAATTTAACTGAATAATAATTTAATAAAATTTTAAACTAATAACTTAAATAATACGAAGTGTCTACATGTCCGGCAACCGGACGAAAATTTCTCAAGATATTTGTCCGGCGACCAGGTCACATGACCACCATAACAAAAGTTGGGCCAGATATCTGTCCGTCAGCCGTGTCACGTGACCGCTAATAGTCGATCATAAAACTGGCGTCGGAGATGCATGGGGGCGACGAGTATACACTTCATTTCAAGAAATAAGTGGGGGGGGGGGGGGGGGAATTTAAGTCTACTTTAATTTTATGACAAAGCGGAGTATCCAGTGTGATGCTGAGAAGTGAATGCACCGCCTGGATTTGGAAAGGGAGACGAGAGAGAGAGAGAAAGGATAAGAATGATAGTGAAGGTGATAAATAATTAAGGCGGGGAGCTAGAAAGTTCACAAAGAAAAGGACCCTACATCTTAATATAAGGCTAATAAGGCCAATATAATATGGTGATCTGATGGGGATAGCATACTTGTCATGCCATATTTTAAGAGCCTAAAATAAAACTTTTTTTGACAATAGATCTATTGACAGTCTCAGTCAATTGGCAAGTATTCGTCTTATTTTCTTTGGTTCATATTTTAATATTTAGGCTACTAGGGAGAGCTTTATAAGATATTTAAACCAAGATAACAGAATTTTTTTTTTAATTTTGCAGGCGACCTCTTGTCACATGACATGTCTGCTGGAATAATAACACATACTAGTCGTCAGGTGGTAACGTGACATGCCCGCTGGAAGAATATCTCCCGCACTATTTGTCCGGTCGCTGGACGTGTAGACACGTGACACTGGCTAAATAATATTAAAGATAAAATAATAATTGTAAATAGTATATTAATAATTAATATTAATTGTAACAGTTAAGACTAAGACCAGTTAAGCCTGTTAAGACTTAGATCTTAGCCACTCACAAAATTGACATTTAAAATTTTAGTCTAATTGAGTAGGCTACTTGAATTAAATGAATTAAATCTTAAGTTTAGCCACTCACCCCTAGTATTATTTATTAATAATCAAATCCGACTGATCTTAAATTAATTATACATCAGTTAACAGTAGGTGAATAAAAACAAAAATTTGTATTCATTTTTTTTTTCATTGTATGAATGAGTACGATGGCGAATTCAGTAGGCTGAGTTAGCTGAGAGTAAGCTTGACTTATCTAACAATCTGTGACAATCATTGACAATGATTTCAATTTCAAAATTCAATGAAATGAAACATCTATTCTATTTATTAAGTGATTAAGTTTAGTCAGACTAATAATCCTATAATCATGACTAATAATACCCTTACACAATATTTTATAATCTAAAAACTCTTAAAGATCGCGAAGGCCCCTAATTTTTATTATACATTTTTCTTATTAGCAATAAAATCGAATGCATAAAAATTGTTGGGTTTCTAAGTTGGTGATAAGCCAATATGATGATGTACAGGAAGTCATTTATTGATTGGTCTTTACAATAACACAACAAATAAAAAAATCGGATTTCACCGAAAAGGGGGGGGGGATGTATTTTAGTTAACGAAACAAATATGAGAAATATTACAGAAACGACAAAACCTAATTCTAATGGTACTGGGGCACTAAACAATGGAAGCAGCAATACGTGAACTTCCTATCTACTAAAGTTACTTGAAAAAACATGCATTCAAGTAACGCCAACACATTTTAGACATTTTATAAGGACCCCAAAAATTAGTGCTCCCCCCCCCGGATATTTAAGTACACATAACTGATAACTCATTACATATTTTAAAAGTGTTGGACTGCGATAAAGCTTTAAAATAGATTAATTAGACATATATTGTGATATTGACACAAATTGTTCGTCTCTAATTAAATTAATATACACATATTTTTAACGCCCCTGACTAAATTAATATTCTTATTCTAATGCATCACCGGCGTAGCGAGGGTGTTTGGCGCCCGGGGACAAGATTCGCGCCCCTTCTTCTTTTTTTTCAACTCTAAAAACCCATTATTTTCATCAATAAAATAATATCAAAGCACATTTTGGCGCCCCTATCTAGCTGGCGCCCGGGGACATCTGTCCCCCCTGCCCCCACCAAGCTACGCCTCTGGCATCACTCACTTTTACCCAAAAAATTGTGTTCCTTGTTTATAGTTGTTTAAGAAGGCTCTGCACCTGTATAACTTCAAAAACTGATTTCTATACATGTATCCATACAGAACCTGCCCTCTTCGACGAAATCATTACTGATTAATTAAGAGCTCCCAGTGTGGATGGACACCGAGAGAAATCATACGGAGTGCGCTCTTTTGAACCTATAGCGCATAAATTGTATAACAGTTTGCCTCAATCTTTGAGGGAAATTAAACATGATAAAAATTCAATTTAAAGACTTTTTTCTTAAAATAGATTTTAGGGCATCAGAGCGCTGTGAGCATGTTAAAATAGCATGGACACAAGTGACAAGTGCTATAGAAGTACTCAATCAATCAATTACGCACCAAACGCACTTCGGGTATTTTTTATACTCATTGAGGGGCCATCCATAAATGACGTCATGGGGGGGGGATGAGGTGGGGGTCAAATTTGTGGAGATGCGTGACGATGGGGTGGGGTGACGACACAATAAAAGCAGAACATTATTGAAAATATGCACTTAATAGCACTAAATTACATGTTTTTAAGACTATAATATTCATTTTATAAAAAAATAAAAACTGGCTGGTACCCGGCATGCGTTGCAATGCCACTCAAAGAAAGAAAGTGTTTCTGTTTTAATTATGTTTTTGAAGTCCTTTTTTTTTTTTTTTTTTTTTTTTTTTAATTTTTTTTTTTTTTTTTCTTTTTGGACAATATCTTTTGTGTTTTTCCGTAGGTGCGTACTTGAATAAATTAGAAGGTTTTTCGACGCGTGAGCAGGCCACATACAGCTGTCCACGTGAGAAGCAGGGATTTTCAAAATTTAGTCCACACACTTGTAGCGATTGATCCAGCAATGCAAAAGCTCTGATTGAATTTATAGTCATATAGCTCATAACATTTAAAAAGCGACTTTAAGACCCCCGGCACCAAACGGAATATTGTAAAATGGGTGTACTAATTCAGAAGCCTACTTATTATGTCACACACCCACCAACTGAAATGTCGCTATTTGAATTTGATTCAATTCCATCCACCCATGCAATAGTCAATAGCTCTGTTTGAAATTATACTTGTACAGGCAGTATAGCTCATATAATTTTAAAAACGAATTTAGGGCCCTCGGCTCAAAACCGAATATTGTAAATTGTTGTACTAATTTATAAATTTTGTGGGCGTGCGCACAACTCATCAAAGTTTTTAATGGCAGCAAAGTTTCTAGGTCTTCTGCACCACAGGGTGTGCTTTGACCCTTGGCTAAGAATCACTGTTCTAGTGAAATGTTTCTGACACAGGTGTGGCAATTTGATATCCATGTGAGAATATGTTTTAAAGGGTTTGTAAACGAAGATAGTGGACGGACATATTTGTTAATTGGGGGTGGGAGTTTATGACGCTATATTTGAGGAGGTTTAACTTTTTGCAAAGATTTGTGACTATGGGGGAAGGGGAGGCTGGGTCAAAAATCCACGATAATTTATGGATGGCCCCTTAGAGTAGTTATCAAGAATTTTATTTTGCTCGCTATTGAACTAACTGTTAAACTATAGGGCCTACATACCTAGGAGAATTATATTGATTGATTGAATAGTACCATCCGTGAAATTATCTTATGCACAAAATGGTGGGGGGCTTGATTTAAGAGATTGTTCGTAAAAATATAATTGCAATACACTATGTCACTACTGGTGACTGTGAAAAAACGCAAATTACAATGGTACGGCCACGTAACACGGAAACAAGGGCTTGCCAAAGAAATATTGCAGGGCACCACAAGAGGAGGGAGAAGAAGAGGAAGACAAAGAAAAAGATGGGAGGATAACATCAAAGAGTGGGCAGGACTAACACTGGGCGATGCAGTGCGTAGTGCTGAAGACAGAGAGGAATGGAGGAGGATGGTTCACATGTCATCTGTGGCGCCTCAACGGTCCATGGACTAAGGGACCTGAGGATGTCACTGCTTTACTGCAGTGTTCCCCAAATGGTGGTCCAAGGACTGACACCAGTCCGCTAGCCTTACAATGGCTGTCAAGTAAAAAGAAAATATAATTAATAAATCTGGAACTGGTCAAAATGTATCGACTGGTTTCTAAATCTAAAAGTTTGGGAAATGCTGCTCTAGTGTGGGGTGAGCAAATCATGAACTGGAAAATAGGGGACGCTTTCAAGGACGGTGTGGGAGGGGGGGGGGGGGGAAAACAAAAACAAAAAAAAATCATTGCAAACTGTGCACTCGGCTTTACTTTCATAGCGTCCTTTTTTTAATATAGTTCCACTCTTTGGAATACTCCTCCGCTTGGGCATAATTATTGTCTAAATGAGAAGATAATATACAATTAAAGAATAAAGTTCAACACCCAAAACAAACAACTGTCACTCTGACACGAACAGGCCGGCAGGGATCACACATAAGACTAACGCATCACACGTAGTGGTAGCGGAATCAAAATTGGTTTCTGCGCAGTTACATCCCCCCCCCCCCTTTGCTGTTTCAACTCTCGGGCCTTTCGCTATACATTTCCATATAAGATCCATGGCAGGGCCCCGGTGGTGAAACGCATCACACGGAGTGGTAGCGGAATCAAAATTGGTTTCTGCGCAGTTACATCCCCCCCCCCCCTTTGCTGTTTCAAATCTCGAGTCTTTCGCTATACATTTACATATAAGATCCATGGCAGGGACACTGTGGTGGAGGGGGAACAATGCAGCCATCACGTGAGCCCCCATCACTACTGTCACTGGCTACACAGCTAGCCAAATTATTACTTCAAGTTATATTATAAATTACGATATTTTAGTGATTTGAAGTTGTGTTTGGTTAAAAAAAATAGGACATTTAGGCATCCCGAGAGACTTTTTTGGGAAAACGGGTACGATCGTGAAAAAACGGGACAATCCCGCTTTTACAGGACGTTTGGTCACCCCACTCCAGTGTACCTTATTAATGTTGGAGGGCGTAGATTTAGACTGCAGACAGGTGCTGGATGGTGACCGGACTACTGAATGCATGACATGTGAACCCACGAAAACTGACCAGAAGACATCCAAACACATGGACAAGTGGACAATTTAAATTTTAACTAATTTATTTTTTATATTTATTGTAAAAACCCTAAGCTTAAATCACAATGCAAATCAAATTTTAAAAAGTTATGCGGCCTAGGCCTTAAGGAACATAGCACAGTTATTAATATATTTAATTCAGAATTACCCAATTTAACTTTGACCTTTTAAAATATCTTTTTAGTAAACTTTCTATTAATTTTCATATGGCCAATGTAGAAAAATATATTTATGTACCGGTAATTGTAAGTTTGGTTTGATTTGAGAATTTCATTCATATGCTCATATATGTAGTTTCCAAGGAGTATTTGGAGCTAAAATGTAAGCACATCTTAGTCTGTACTCTAAAGCAACACAAGATAAGAAATGTTTATGAAAGATTGCTTATAAAGATGTCCCTTTGTCATTCTTAATTAGTGAACCATAACTAAAATTTGAGACAAATTGGACCAAATAAAAATTAACAAAGCTCAACCCATTTATTAATTTTAAGCAACAGAAGAAAATAATGTTGCACTCAAAGATTTTATAAGATCTTTCTTTTGTCATGAAAGATCTATGCAGTTGGATTTAAAATATATCTAAATCTATTCTTTTTACCAGATTACAGTTTAATATTTTTAAAATAATATTTTTAAAACAAAAAAATAGTTGAAGAAATGTTTTTATCTTCAACAAGGTTTTTTTTAATTATAATTTTTTAAAATTCATATTACGCATGCTCTATAGTAGAAATTAACAATCTACTCTGGAAATCAAAACAGTGTACTTGGAAAATAAAAAACTAATAGGAAAATAAAAATCTACACAGAAAATAACAAAGATATGGTGTTACGCACTGCCTTCTATAGTGAGAAATTAATCTCTTATTTTAATTTTATGGCTCGTTCTAAACAGTGCCTAAAAAAGGACGATACCATATGAGAAATACAATAGCAAAAATATGACACTCAAAACAGTTGCTAATTACAATTAATAATATTTATTTAAGTAGTAATATTATTACAAAACAAAATAAATATAATTACAATCATCAAATTACAGGGTATGGGATGTCTTGTACCGGTACACAGTTAGTAC